TCTTAAAAAAAAGTCTTAAAAAAAATCTATCCTGTAGAATTAGCTGAAAGGAAAAGAATAATAATAAGATACTTATTAAAATATATATTAATAGAATCCATTCAAATTGTTATATTTTCAAATGTATTTTCGTGAAGCATGAAAAAGTTACTGAAATTTTAGTATGTTATGACTAGTCTAATTATACTAAACATTGAAAAAAGGGTTAAAGTAAATCTTGAATAATTTTCTGATTTTGTAGTAGTAATTCAGTTTTGTCCCTGGGTTCAATTCAGGTCACAAGAAATATATGCATTCCTGTATTCACTGCAGCACTATTTACAATAGTCAAGCTATGGAAATAACCTAAATACCCAAGTATAGATAAGTATGTTAGGAAGATGTGACATGTATTGATATATACACAATAGATATTAGTCAGTTATAAAAAAAAAAAATGAACTTTTGCCATTTGTGATAGCATGGACTGAACTGGAGGGGATTATCGAAGTGAAATAAGTCAGAAGGAGAAAGACAAATACCAGATGGATGGTTTCACTTACATATGAAATACAGACAAACAAAACAAAGGGGTCAGACAAAACTAAACCAGTAACAAGCCCTAGAAATATGACTAGATTTGAGGTTACCAAAAGGGGAGAGGAAGTGGGAGAGAGCAAAAAGGGGAGGGAACACATGGATTATGGTGGAGGGCCATGGGTACCCCAATGGTGGCTGTAGTGTGGTAATGTACACCTTCAGGCGCAGATTTCATACCTCTAAAATATACAGTATTGTAAACCAAAGCGACCTCAATAAAAAAATACAATAAAATAATTTCATTTTATTTTCATTTTATTTTTCATTTTATTTTTATTTTGAAGTGTTTTATTGACTTCATAGATTAATTTGAATAACATAAGCATATTAACATAGGAATTTTTGCAATCCATGAACATGAATTATCATTCCATTTATTTGTGTCTTTGTCTTTTTTTAAATTTATTTATATATTTTTTACATCATTGTTCATTTTTTTTTTAAGATTTATTTATTTATTTATACAAGCACTGGGTACAGTCAGAAGCGCGGGAGGGTGAGAGAATTCACCAGAGCCAGAGCGGGGAGCAGAACAGGCAGACTGATGAAATACACTGCTGAGGGGAGCAGTGGGCAGCTGGAGAGGTCTGCGTGCCATGTGGGACCTTTGCCAGTGGCCGGGGATGGAACCAGCGCTGCAGAGGCTGTGGGCAGCTTTGCAGCCCAGTGCTCAACCACTGCGCCACTGGGGAGGCCCTCATTGTTCATTTTTAAACAATGTTTGCTCCCCCCCCCCAAATTTATGTAATGGAACATGATTGGTAGTTACCATATTGGACAGCACAGTTTTAGAATCAAGCATCAACTTACAGGAAATTGGAAAGAACAAAGGAACACACTTTTTTTTAGTCTGTGGGAAACTCTACTGGACAAGTTACCTAGTTTATTCAACAAAAAAATTAAAAGAGAGAGAAATATATCTATATCTATATATATATGCCTGTATATATCTACAGATATGTATATACTAAAAGATACTAAAAGACATATCAATCCATTATAATGCATAACTTAATTGGATTCTGATTTAAACTGAACAACTGTAAAAAAATAAAAAAAGCAAGACATGAAACAACTGCCAATATGAACATTGGATATATAATGAATTAATAAATTACTATGAATTGTTTTAATGTGTTATGATAGTATTTCCATTATATTTACATATATCTAAAGACATGCTGAAATATATACAAATGGTATTTTGATGTTGGTATTTTTCTCAAAATAATGGAGGGAGGGAAGTAAGTGGGCACATAAATGAAACAAGATGGATTATGGGTTAACTGTTGAAGCTATCTAAGAGGTACATGGGGGTCATTATATTATTTTATCTTCTTTATAAACCTTTAAATTTTTTTAAAAGGGAAATTATATGGAAATTATATGATATGTTTTTTTAAAAAGAAAATAAGGTAGAACTTTCAGTAAGTAGAATAGATTTACTGTTAGAAAGTCCTATGTCCCCAAAAGCAGTGATAAATCTGGATTAAAAAAAGTATCATGGGGATGTGTGAAATAATCATTGGTATATACCAAATTATGAAGTGGTTATATATGAAAAACTAGTGAACTTTGGAGTCATTTTTGTGGCATTTTTACCTAAGGTGGCTCCAATACCAAGGCAGAGCAAACTGTTAAAAGTAGCAATTTAATGCCTGAGAAAGGAACTGTATTTGGAGAGGGAAAAGGAAAATCCCCACAACTAGAGGCATTGTCAGTAACAACTGTGATTGCCCTGGCAATGAGGTGAGAAGGCTGCAGTTCTGGTTCGGTTAAGCAGCGAACTTCCAGTCTAGCCAGGTGTTTAACAGGGAGACCCAGAAAATGAAACATGGAACAAAATGATAAGCCCTGCACACATACATGCAGGAGATACCAGAGGCTCCCAGGCTGGGTATACTTTCTCAGCTGATGTTAAGACTGAGCAGAGAGGACACAAGATGAAACTCTTACCTGATTACTCAACATTAAATTTATTAGAAAAACTAAATAATCAGGGCAATGATACTGGAGTAAGTATAGGCATAAAAATAATAATAAAAAAAAAGAATTGTGGGTCTAGAAAGAAGCCATTACATTTATGCCACAATTGATTTTTTTTTAAAGATTTATTTATTTATACAAGCACTGGGTACAGCCAGAAGCGCGGGGGCGTGAGAGAATTCACCAGAGCCAGAGCGGGGAACAGAACAGTATGCCCAATTGATTTTTGACAAACTCAAGGCAATTCAGTGGAGGAAAGGATAGTTTTCAACAAATGGTACAGACACAACTGGATGCCATATGCAAAATGATTAATCTGAGCCCTTGCCTCACACTATACTAAAAAGAAAAAGAAAAAGAAAAAAATACATTACATCACAAATTAAAGGCTATACTATAAAATAGAAACAAAGGCAAAAATCTGAATGGTTTTAGTTTAAAATCAACACCAAAAGCAGAAATTCATAAAGGAAAAAAATAGACAAATTGTACTTCCTTCAATTTAAATTTTCATGTTTCAGAAAAGATCATTAAGAAGATGGGAAGATAAACCAAGGCCTGAGAAAAAGAAGTTTGCAAATCATATAAAATCATATAACATATCTGATAAAAGACTTGTATACGGAATATATGCAGAATATTACCAATAAATAATAAGAATACCAGCAGCTTAACTAAAAAGTGAGCAAAGGATTTCAACAAATATTCTACCACAGAAGATATATATGAATAGCTAAAAAGCACATGAAAAGATGTTTAACATATTTAGTCATTAGGGGAATGCAAATCAAAACCACAATGGAATTCCAATACACACTCATTTCAATGTGTACAATGAAAAAAATCAAATACCTTTTATTGAAGTAACACTCGTTTACATCACTGTATGATTTAGATATAGGATCACACCTCTTCAGATGTATATTACCTCATCACACCCTCACCAAGGCTAAACTTAATCCTTCATATAGTCTGTTGTGCCTGCTTTGCTCTACGCCTTCCCCATCCCCAATAACCTCTATTTTATAGTCAGTTCTCTTGGGGGTTGACAGATAATATGTCTTGTGAGCATGCAGATGGAAATTTAAAATGGTGCAGGTTTGAAAACAAGCTTGACAGTTTCTTATAAAGTTAAATATAAATTGACCATATGACTGACAATTCCATTCTTGGTGTCTACACAGGAGAAACAGAAACATATGTTCACACCACTTACATGTGAGAGTTCATAAAAGCATTACATAAACTAGTTAACAATTGGAAACAATTAAAATTTCCATTAATTGGTAAAAGGATAAGCAAATGTGATACATCAATATAATGGAATACTACTCAACAAGAAAAAAGAATGAAACACCAATACATGTACACCATGGATGAACTTAAAAAACATTATGCTAAAGAAAGAAACCATATTCAAAAGACTACATATGTATGATTTCACTGATGTGAAATGTTCACAAGAGGCAGATCTGTATTTACAGAAGGTAGCTATAAGGTCACCTGCATTGAGGTATAGGAACAAAATCTGACAGTAAATGACACAGGGGAAGAACTATTGACTGGGGTAGAACTACTGAATTGTGGTGATGACTGCACAATTCTATAAATTTACTGAAATCATTGACTTGTATACTTACAATGGTGAATTATATAGCACAATAGATAAAAGCTTTAAAAACAAACTATAAACTGCATGTGTTTATCTTTTTGATTGCTGCGTAATATTCCATTGTGTATATGTACCACATCTTCTTGATCTAGTCATCTATTTTTGGGCATTTGGGTTGTTTCCATCGCTTAGCTATTGTAAATAGTGCTGCTATAAACATAGGGATGCAGGTGCCCTTTGGAATTAATGTTTCTGTGTCATTTGGGTAAATACCTAGGAGTGGAATTGCTGGATCAACACATGCAGTTTGCAGCAACATGGATGGAGCTAGAAGGGATCTTGCTCAGCAAAATAAGTCAGAAAGAAAAAAGAAAAAATATCAGATGGTCTCACTCATAGCAGGAATTTAGAAAACCTAAATAAGGGACCAGGAAAAAGACTAATTAATACAAAGCAAAAATCAAAATCAACAAGCAACTATAAACAAGAGACACACTATGGGGGGTCGAGGGGAGGGAAGGAGAGAGGAAGGACTAGGGTCAAAATAAAGTGGGGGGGGGTGCAATTGTATGGGGAATATAATCAAAATGAAAATGCATACATTGTGCAAAAATGAAAAATGATGTAAGAATTATATAAAATAAAATATTAATTAAAAAACTATAAAAAACAAAAAGAAATAAAGGGCAGGTAAATAAAGATGAATAAAGTTGGGTCATATCTTGATAATTTTTAAAGCTGATTATATTAGTTATCTAATGTTATATAAGAAATTACCCTAAAACATGTTGACTTATAACAACACATATTTGTCATTTTATAGATTTTGTGCTTTGGGAATCTACATACAACTTGGTTGGATACCTCTGGAAGAAGATTACAAAAGGATTGAGAACAATAGGAAGCAGAGATCACTGAGGGCCATCTTAGACGCTGCCAACTTCAACAGGTAATGGGTAACTGGGCTAATTCCACTGTCCCTTCTACTTTGTGCATGCTTAGAATTTTTCATAATAAAATGTTAGAAAGAGAAAGAAAATACTATTTACAGAAACTAAATGCAAACAAGCATTTCTTATGTTTAACAGAACTTAGGCAGTCTCTATAAAGTAGCAAAATAATGAACATCTCATTAAATTTTAAAAAAGACAACTTTTTTATAGATGAAGAAGTTAAGCAAGGGTGTAATTGGTATGTCCTTTTATAAGATTTCAATCATAGAATGTCATTCAAATTCTTAAAAATCCAAAAATGAAATAAACAAATAAAAAAAGAAAATTTTAACATTTGTTGATCAGTTACCACATACCATTGTTCTAAACACTTAACATGTACTAATGTAATTTAATTTTTATAACAATAATTTGTGGTAGATATCATCAGTTTATGTAAATTTAAAGATGAGAAAGCTGAGACACAGGCTAAATAACTTGCTTGAGGTCAAATAACTAGTAAATAGTAGTCAGAAATTCCCATGGAAGGTAAAGAAGGGTATAGAAATTAAATGGCCACAGGGAACACATCAAAGGGTTAAAATTCTCCTAATTCTAATTCAATGCAAATTTTCGATGAAGGAGATTATATTTTTTATGTTACCATGTGTGGTCCTATTAATGTTTAAATCATTACTACAGAAACTGTACGTCAGGGTATGTTGCTATGTCAAAATATAAGTGGTCTTACTCTCCTGTGTCAATATCATCACAAGATTGGGTCATTACAAAAGCAAATACATTCTATGGTTCACCCTCTCCTCAAAATATCAGCATGGATTACCTTCAGGTATGAGCAATTTTTCACAGCTCATCTAATTTCTTATGCATAATTATCATAAATATGGTAGCCAGTTGTTCTTTTCAAATATCCAGTGTTCTGCCAAGTCACGTGTCTTCATCAATTTCTGAGCAGTAAGACTTCTTTTTCCCATGCTTCACTTTTTTGTCAAGGTCATGTCTAATAATAACTTTTTTGGGGGTAGAATACTGCAGACTTTATAAGGTAGTTTCCTATGCCTTATTTAACCCTTCAACAATGAGTCTATGATGAATTTGATAGTGTATCACAGTGTTGCTATATTAGAGTGTAAGTGATAAGTAAGTGGTAAATTCAAAACTTGATGCCAGGCTCCTTCTTACCAATACTATCATTGTGCAAATGGGTTCTGGAGTTTAGAAAACTACAAATCACTAACTAACTCACATAATTAAGTACCAGTTTTGAAGAGGAAAAAAACTAATAAATTGTCCATTACATATAATAGAGTTCTATGAGGCTGTAATGATGAAAGGAAAGTATAACCAGGAAAACAGAATTTAAAAAAATCTGGTTGAAGGTCATAGACACTGTAATTTTGCATTAATGAGATAAATTTTACTGAATTCCCAAAAATATAAGATCAATACTGCTACTTGAATACAGAAAATATATATGTGATTATATTTATGGCATCCTTACCCACCTACTGTCTATGTGGTAACCACACATATTTTTTAAAAGATGGCACCTATTTTTATAAAGATTAGGCCCTATGGAAATAACTGGTTGAAGAGTGGGTATTCCAAGCTGGGCAACAGTGTATTTCTCAGAAATTTGAAATTAGAACTAAAAGATTTCAATGTCACTTTAAGACAGACTCTTGAAATGAGAATTATAACTTTGGAGACTTATGAGCAATTATGTTTTCTACCATATGATCTGGGGATCTGAGAAAACTAGTTTACTCAGAGAAAATAGAGTGGATGAGCAAAGACAAGCAGAAATAAGAAATATGTTTTGAAAATGCTCCAATCCCAGGCCTTAGTTTTATGAGATTCTCTTCTGTCAGTAAAACATTTTTTTGAGCTTAAACTAACTTAATTTCTGTAACTTGTAACCAGAGATCCCATTAAAACATTAAAATATGTATATTAATAAATATTAATGAGAATTACAACTAAAACATATTCAATAAACTCTTGCAGGAAAAAAAGCCATCCTGAATTTAAATTTCTCTAAATAGTCATCAGAAAAAAATCTACTCAAAGAAAATATCTGGAAAGATATCTTCAACATATTAAATGTGAGAAATAAAACATAATCCTGAAGGATACAATAGTGTACATAAGATTCCTTTTTCTACATTATAAAAGATTATAAAAGATTAAATATGAAACATTACATTTTCTACATTATAAAAGATTAAATATGAAAACCATTTTTTTCTGGTGCAATATATGAAAACAGTTAAATGTTTTGCTTTGGGAGGATGAAAAACAAATTCTGTATCTTCATGTACAGATCTGTTTGTCTAATACACATTTTTTATAGAACATCAATATGATTTATTTGGTGTAAGGGATTGTAAGAGGTAAATATTTTTTGGAATTAAAATATCTAATAATGATTACTTTAAAAATAGCAAAAATAAGTAAATTACTTTTGGCAAACAATTAGATAAAACTATTGAAAATGCATAAGCCCAGAAGAAATGCCCTTCATGCAGGAGGGGCACCCAAATTTAAAGAAACTACACATGGCTAACAGAAGATTGCATAGTGATCTTTATTTGAAATAAGTCTATTCTAGACTCTCTAGTCCTTTATCATTGTACTCTAATTTAACTTAGGTAACATGCAGTTCACTTAATAGTAAACTCAGAAAATCTGTGTAGCTCTACCTTAGTCCTCTTCGAAACAAAAACCAAACAAAAAAAAAAGACAAAAAAGAAGACAACCTGAATTGTCAGTTATTGAGAGAAGTTTATAGTAACCAAATAAATGTGGGAAATAGTTAACAAATTAACCATGTTCCATCAATATAAAGAGAATACTTTCAGCCTACTTGAACAAAAAGGAAAAGTTATGAATTATTGCATGCGTGTGACCAGATAGAAGCACATCATGATAGCAATCTGTTGTGTCAACATTTCATTTTCTTTAGGTACAGGATTATATAAAAGACTATTTCCTCATAATAATTCTTATGTACCTCTTCATTTATGCTATTTTATTTAGAATTTCTCTTTTCTGAGATAGCCTCCTGGGACATGCATCTCATTTTCATGAGGGTCCCCGAGAGACGTGAGCATACAGTATTTACTTCAGTACAATGTCAACAACATATTGCAGAACATTTCATCTAAAATAATAATAGAAAATGTTGAGCCATCTTTCCATTTGGAAAAATATATCTGGAAGAATGTGATGCCTGACGAAATCCACATTGCTTAAACACACTGTGCCATCTCAGCTTGCTTTGGGAATTTAAAGATATAGATCTGTCTTCATTCTTCTATGCAGATAAAGGCTGTGCAACACTAAGGGAGAGGGAGTTAAAGGATATCTACATACAGTGTGCCTGGCAGAGAGTAAACAGAGCACCATAATGACCAAAACTGAAATTACTGAATTCAGATTTATTGATAAAGAAAAAAGTTTTAACAATGTAAAAATTTCTAGGGCCTCTCTGGAGGCACAGGGGTAAAAGTCTCAGTGCTATCAAGCTATTGGCAGCCACTGTGACCTGACTTCAATCCCCAGCCAGGGAGCTGACCCTCATGGCGTAGCAGACCTCTCCTGTCTCTGCTCCCCACTCTGTCTCTGGTGAATCCTATCACCCCCTGCACCTCTGGCCTACACCCCAGTTCTTATATGTATAAATAAATAAAATAAATCTTTAAAAAAAGTAAAAATTTCTACAAAGTAGACTGCTACTAAAACTAATGTTTAAACCAAGTTCTTTCAACTTCTTCCATAACTGCTTTCTCTATAGTCAACACCAAACATGAGTTCCAAGAGAAAGCTAATTAATGTAACTATTATACAATTTTGGCTTTTCATTTACAAATGAGAATCTCTGCCAGCTAATAAATGAAAGCTATTCATCACATGGATGCTAGGAGGTAATCTATAAATTTTTTCTTCTTTATCTGAAACAATAATCTTACAGGAATGAGATTTCCTAAGGTCCAGAAACATTTTTCTCTCACAAAGGATTATTACCACTCTCCAGCAGTAACTGAGATTTTCAACTTTGAGAGCAATGCTTACAATTAGAGTTGTTATGTAAGTATATGTGCTCTACAAAGGATTTTTAAATGTATTATTTTAATCTGCACTGTAACTTTATGAGGTATGTCCTTTATTTTATTTTACAAATAAGAAAACTGAGTACAGAATATACAATTACTTGGTGCCATATGGCATGAGGACCTGAGCCTTGGCAGGGTGGCCCCCGAGTCTGAATTTATAACAACTACGCTAAAACAGCTATTGTTTTGATTTATTACTCACAAGACAGAGCTTACAAACATAAATCCAAATCTGTAAACCACTTTGATCTGATTTTTAGTGTTCTCTTTAACATTAGAAAAATATATATTGTTCTATTTGCTGCCAGAAGACAACCACTAACTTTAAGCTCTTGAACCCAAAGTAGTGGATTCATGCTAATCCAGCAACTTGCTCTCATCTACAATCAAAATGAAACATATTTGATATGCTCTCCTTGGTTAGAAATTGTATCTATAGTCACAAACAAAACTAAAAAGCTTCCTGATAGCCAAAAATATCGAGTGTGTGTGTGCTGTGTGAACTATATATCCAAATGTCAATGCACAAAGAAAATATCTTTCACAAATCTTTTTCAAATGATGGTTAGATTCCCATGTAAACCTACTGAATGAATTATATACCCGTAAATATGCTCATAATGAAGAGTAGATAAATTTAAATGGAATAAAATAACAAAAAGAATTGAATTTAAAACAGCAGAGTTTTTATCTCATAAACATAATGCTTAAAGAAAAACAGGTTTAATGGGAGAATGAAGATGAAGTAGAAAGGGGCATTCTGGGATAGCTGACGGTTCATTACAACATTTTCATGGATCTAAAAGGTTAGCTTCAGCCATTCTAGAATTTTAGCGATTAAATAATTCAACATGGTATTATTCATATGGCAATTGAGGACA